AGGGGGGGGGGGGGGGAGAAACGTTCCTCTGCCTCTATGAGCCCCGGGGTGGTGGCCTTGGACTCCTAGGACCAAATTCCACCTCTCGCGTGTACATCACACACCAGAGGTCATTCTGGCTCCTCCAGCTCTTGTTAGGGGCTCTTTAAATAGTTATGGCCACCGGAGCAGGCGGCTGCAAGGGGTGGGGGGGGGCGTGGGAGAAACGTTCCTCTGCCTCTATGAGCCCCGGGGTGGTGGCCTTGGACTCCTAGGACCAAATTCCACCTCTCGCGTGTACATCACACACCAGAGGTCATTCTGGCTCCTCCAGCTCTTGTTAGGGGCTCTTTAAATAGTTATGGCCACCGGAGCAGGCGGCTGCAAGGGGTGGGGTGGGGCGTGGGAGAAACGTTCCCCTGCCTCCATGAGCCCCGGGGTGGTGGCCTTGCACTCCTAGTGGCAAAAGCCATTGGCTTCTCTTATATTCTTATGTTCAAGTGATAAAAGCATGAAGCTCTCTTGCACCTACAACGGTGAACATCTTTTGCTAGCATATAATGAGTTTCCAGAGCTCAACTCCCAGAGGTGTGGCCACACCGCGTACGGGTAACTTCCCTGGAACAGCCGGCGGCGAGCGCACGAACAGCGCCGTCAGCCTGCCGGGCTTACTTCGAGTAAAACGATGAGGGCGGCGAAATCACGCGACCTCCAAACTCCACGCGGCGAGCCCTCACGTGACATCTGGCCGTTACCTAGCAACGGCCTCTCCCGTCGTGCTGGTCGAAACCCGGCGGGAGACTGGAGGAAGGCGCAGGTTCCCGTCTCTCCTGATGTCACGTGAAAGTTAGGCTCCTCCCCCTTTAGCGCAGACTCCGCCATGTTGTTTTTCCTCCAGAGTCTCCTGCGCTCTTCTCAGGCAGTGGCGGCCGCGGGAGTCTCCGACTCCAGTCTCTCCCCTCCCCCTTTTCCGCCGCTCTGTTTGGGAAGGTGAGTGCGGCCGCAGCGCTTCATCGTGTCGCTGTCCCGGGCGGGTGGGAGGGAATACGTCTGGCTGTTTCATTCCGAGGACTGAACATGCATGGCTTCACTTCCAGCGATGCTGCCGCTTGGAAGTTGGCTTGTATTTGCTCGCTTCTTGAGTTTATCGGAAGGCTCGGGGTGGATGCTGGGCTCAGGTATCAGCCTGCCCTTGCCTTGATTCTGGCTATTCTTATTATTTTTTTAAAATGACGTTTGGCTTTGGGGTGTGGCTCGACTCGTCTTTTGGCCTTGTTGCAAAAGAGTGGATAGTGTTTGCAGAGTAACTGAGCGAGACCTCCTTACTCGACCGCCCGGGCTGAAGTTCGGTTCCCGTTTATTTAGGTAAAACTCTCGTTGTCATCTACGAGACTTCCTGCCAAGTTCAGGGAGAAGGGAGTATTAGGTTAAGAGGCAAACCCCCCCTCCCAAAAAACCCCCTTCCTCCTCTGGTCTGTAATTCAGTTTTCTTGGCTCTGCATTATTTCGAAAGGTTTCTTCCTTGAGAAGTTTCTTCGTTTGAATCGGAGCACTCTGGCTCTCAAGCTGCTGGTCTCTACTTTGTTCGTTCTTTCTTTCTTTGACTTGTAAATGTGGTGTGATTACGGATCCCGTGACTCTGGGACAGATTGCAGTTCAGTTAAGAAAAAGCTTCTCTAATATGCTTCTCAGCTGACACAAGGCCAATTTGTCTCCAGGGCTGTTTCTCAGTCCTGATTAAAATCAGTGGCCTGTCAGAAAACATCTCTGTTTCTTATGTATGACCCCTTTGTCTTTTTCACCTTTCATGTGGGAAATCCCCTGCCTTCCCATTTGAGAAGAGATTGAAAGTCAAGCTCCTTAATCTGCATGTGGTAATGATAAGTGAGTCTGAACAAATGTCATTTCCTTCTAGTTCTGCACCAAACCGGAAAAGTGCCTTTGCTTGTTCTCTTGATATATGCCAAGTGAAATAAGGTAGTAGGGCCAATCAGTGAAGGAGGACAACTAGACAACTCTTGGGAATCAGCCTATTTTTATATTGATCCTACCAAAGTGTTGAATGAGAAAATGCAGTCTGTTTCCAAGATGTTTGAAACATTTTTTCAAGAGCACCGTGTGTTGGAAAACTACCTGAGGTAGCTGAACAAACTTTCTGGTATAGAAAGAGCTACACTGATTTCTACTCAGTCTTCTTGAGGACAAAAATCAGCCGTCCCATTTTGTGACCATGTGATCAAATATTCCAGTTTCCTTGGTGGGTTCCCTGTTCTTAGAGGATGGGGAAGGAGTCAGGGAAGAGTACTTGACTACTTCACTAGGGTACTTGCTCTGTTTCTTAACTGTGGTTACAGTTAGAAGGTCTTTCCTAATTCTTAAACTAAATGTACCCCATTGCAACTTAAATCCTTAACTGGACAACTTCTGAAATACTTCAGCGGGTTAAGTGGGAGTGAAAAACTTTGCTCTCACCTGCAAATCTCTCTGTCCAGGAAGGGTGCAGGAATCCAGCAAACCTACTAATAAAGCGGCCTCATGTTATCCCATGCCACACAACCTGAGCTGATACTAGTTTGAGTACTTTTGAATTAAAATGTTTATGCATAGGCTGGTATATAGACATTTGAAAATAGTTTTCCAGCTGTATGTACAATATAGGTGGGATTTACTAACAGAAGTGAGCAGATTGTGCCTGTCACTAGAACCTGCCAATTTTGGGGAAGAAATTCTTCCTAGTGTGTAATGGAGTAGGGGGAAGATCACAGCAGGAGGCACAGGCCTGCTTGCCTATAGTTAACATTTTACTAACAGTATGTGATGTTGAGCTACAGGTGAGGCTGTGGTGGAGGATTCAGAAGCCCCTCCAGTTCACATAGTAATGAAGTGTTTCCAGGCCATCCCCCTTTCCTCATGCCTCTTAATTCAAGTAATGACTGTAAAGATTAATGTTGTGTTCTTTTATGCTTTGTTCTTTATGTAAAAGTTTCCATGTTGTTAAGACCTATATCTAAATAAATTTAATCTGTTATCAGTTTGGTGTAGTAGTTAAGTGTGCGGACTCTAATCTGGGAGAACCGGGTTTGATTCCCCACTCCTCCACTTGCACCTGCTGATGTGACCTTGGGTCAGTCACAAGCTCTGGCACAGCTGTCCTTGGAAAAGAGCAGTTTGTGTCAGAGTTCTCTCAGCCCCACCCACCTCACAGGGTGTCTGTTGTGGGGAGGGGAAGGTAAAGGAGTTTGTAAGCCGCTCTGAGACTCCAAGTGAAGGGCGGGGTATAAATCCAATCTCTTCTTCTTCTTTATGGTATATACCTTCCATAAAGGTCAAGGTACATGACCTTAGTAAAAATAAATAATTAAAATGTGTATTAGAAACAGAACCACCAAAAATGCTAAAACAACTTTGCTCTGTTCTGGTTTAAGACGTCAGTCTGAATAAGACTATTGTACATGTCAGGGAACCCCATCCAGGATGTTTAGGCCAGATTTTAAGGGGAGAAAGGGTTCTAATTTTTAAAGGGTTGCATCCAGTTCTTCTGTAAACTTCTGAAATTCTTGAGGATAAATATCAGCTGGCTCTGTTTCTGCAGCTCATTTTCCTGACATGGTGACTGTTGAGCTCCAGCCAATAAGAACATTTTGTGCCTTTGCTTTCCCAATTTAATTTAGATAGTATTCATAGTTTGGCCATGCAAATTGTGATGGAGTGAAGGTAGTCAGTCAGTATAATATGCTGGATCTTTAGGTTTTTAGTCCTTAGTAACTGGCACATCAGTTTGAATTTGCAAACTGCACCGGAAGGGCATGATCTAGAGAACTTGTTAGGATATTATGCTTTTAGTATTATTTTTTTTATGCCCTAAGAAACTAGGCTTGCATCCTAGCAGGGCTCATAGATCCAGCCTTGCATCTGAAATTGCAGGTAGTGGCAGCTGAAGTCTTCTATAAGCTCTGTCTAAAACTATGCCTTTCCTGCAACACAGACTTTGCAATCATAATTAATTCTCTTGTAATCTCATTTCATATGGGATTGTCCTTGGAGGGTCTGGAAACTGCAGCCAAACTGAATGCAGTACTCTGAAGGTAAGAACATGTATAATTAATTTTTCTGTAATTCCAATGGCTGACTGTTAGCTTCCAGGCCCAATTCAAGGTATTTATTCTGAATTATGAATATTATCTGGCCAGCATGTTTTAGGGAGCATCTCTTCCGTAAGCAAAATATGAGAAACCAGATTTTCTGTGGAAGGGAAATGATGCATAGTTACGTTGGTGGCAGCTCCAGAGAGCTCAGCCTTATCCCTGCTTTGTGATTGTTTAGCAAGAATTGAGAAGTTTTCATCTTCAAGAGGCCCTTCTGTGATCCTTTTAAAACAATGCGTCAAAGTGTTCTGAAATCAGTTTGCCTCCGTGGTATTTGTGTTTTTGCTTAGATACGCTGTAGACAATATTATGGTATGGAGAAGAAGAGTTGGTTTTTATACCCCACTTTTCTCTACCCTAAGGCACCTCAAAGTGGCTTACAATCACCTTTCCTTCCTCTTCCCATAACAGGCACCCTGTGAGGTAGGTGGGGCTGTGAGAGTTCTGAGAGAACTGTGACTAGCCCAAGATCTCCCAGCAGGCTTCACATGGAGAAGTGGGGAATCAAACCTGGTTCTCCAAATTAGCGTCCGCTGCTCTTAACCTCTACACCACACTGGTATGTGGTTTTGATTTTAATTCTGTTTTAAAGATTACAAAAATGCTCATGACAGAGTTCAAACACCTGACATGGGATTTAATATTCATAACCATACCAAGCCATATCAGCTTTCGTGCACTCATCTCAAATCTTGCTGCTTACTACTAACACTCATTTACATAATATATACATTGACTGAATATTTCTATGGGCTTTTCCCAGGGCTCCCAAGTATGTACCTTAATTCGGTGGGGGATGTATAGTTCTTCGCGGGACCATTCCCGCGGGGAAAACACAGGCGCTGCACTATTCCGTCGCCCAGACGTGCGAAAATAAGACACTGTCTTATATTTATTTTTTCTCAAGAAGACACACTAGGGCTTATACCACAAATGCATAGAAATCCTGCTAGGGCTTATTTTTTGGGTAGGTCTTATTTTCGGGAAAACAGGGTAGGCACGTAGCCTTGCGACGCTCTAGCAATGGGGCTGGAAACTCGATGGTACCATCGAGTTTCCAGTCCCATTACCAGAGTGTCGCCCAGGTACGTGCCTATGTCACGTCTGGGTGATGGAACAGTGCAGCTCCTGTTTTCCAAGCAAGAATCTTCTGGCGGGGAAGCATGTGTCCCCCGCCGGATCGTAGGTAGGTACTTGGGAACCCTAGCTTTCCCCCAGAATGCCTGGTAGCAACACAGGGATCCATCCTTTAATCCAGTCTTCAGACAGTGGAGCATTTCACCACTGCAAGGGGTGTGTTATGCCAGTACTCCTGTGTTGACTGCAGGCTATAGCAGAGTGGAATTCTAGGATAGAATCAGAGTTGGAAACGGCCATACAGGCCATCTGGTCCAGCCACTTGTTCAATGCAGAATCAGCCTAAAGCATCCCTAACAAGGGTTTGTCCACCCTCTGCTTGAAGACTGCTAGTGAAGGGGCGCTCACCACCTTCCTTGGCAGCCGATTCCACTGCTGAACTACTCTTACTGTACAAAGTTTTTTCCTAATATCCAGCCAGTATCTTTCTGCCTGTAATTTAAACCCATTATTTAGAGTCCTGTCCTCTGCTGGCAACAACTATAGCACCCTCCTTTAAGTGACAGCCTTTCAAATACATAAAGAGAGCAATCATGTCTCCAGCCTTTCCTCCTGGGCTTGGCCTCCAGGCCCCTGATTTTCTTTTGTCTCCCTCCTCTTCATATGCTTCACTTTGTCTCCATCCTTCTTGAAGCGGGGCCTCCAGAACAGCACACAGTACTCCAGGTGTGGCCTGACCAATGCAGTTTACAGAGGGACTATGACATC